TGGGTGGAAGACCTAAATGGATATTTCTCTGAAGAAGACATACAGATGGCCAACAAACATATGAAAAGATGCTCAACATCACTAATTATTAGTGAAATGCAAATCAAAACTACAATGAGGTATCACCTCACACTGGTCAGCGTGGCCATCATCAAAAAATCTACAAACAGGGCTTCCTTGGTGGCGCAGTGGTTGAGAGTCTGCCTGCCGACGCAGGGGACATGGGTTTGTGCCCCAGTCCGGGAAGATCCCACATGCCACGGAGCGGCTGGGCCCGTGAGCCATGGCCGCTGAACCTGCGCGTCCGGAGGCTGTGCTCCACAACGGGAGAGGCCACAACAGTGAGAGGCCCACGTACCAAAAAAAAAAAAAAAAAAAAAAGTCTACAAACAATAAATGCTGGAGAGGGTGTGGAGAAAAGGGAACCGTCTTGCACTGTTGGTGGGACTATAAATTGATACAGCCACTATGGAGAACAATATGGAGGTTCCACAAAAAACTAAAAATAGAACTACCATATGACCCAGCAATCCCACTACTGGGCATGTACCTGGAGAAAACCATAATTCAAAAAGATAAAATACATGCACCTCAATATTCATTGCAGCACTATTTACGATAGCCAGGACACGGAAGCAACCTAAATGTCCATAGACAGAGGAATATGGGTAAAGAAGAAGTGGCACATATGTACAATGTAACATTACTCAGCCATAAAAAGGAACAAAATAATGCCATTTGCAGAGATGTGGATAGACCTAGAGACTGTCATACAGAGTGAAGTAAGTCAGAAAGAGAAAAAAGCAAATATCGTATAATATTGCTTATATGTGGAATCTAGACAAATGGTACAGATGAACTTATTTGCAAAGCAGAAATAGAGACACAGGTGTAGAGACCAAACATATGGATACCAAGGGGGGATGGGGGTGGGTGGGATGAAATGGGAGATTGGAATTGACATATATACACTAGTATGTATAAAATAGATAACTAGTAAGAACCTACTGCATAACACAGGGAACTCTACTCAATGTTCTGTGGTGACCTAAATGGGAAGGAAATCTACAAAAAGAGGGGATATATGTATACGTATAACTGATTCACTTTGCTGTAGACCAGAAATTAACACAACATTGCAAAGCAGCTACACTCCAATAAAAATTTTTAAAAATAAATTTAAAAAAAGCTTAAAAAAAAATGAGTCTTGAATCATAGCCTAGCTCTAGCTTCCCCAAGGACTTACAGGAATTCCTCTTCTAGGGAATTCAATCCATTGGGCATTCTCTGGAAAGAGTGGTGGCATCTGCCCAGCCAGGCAGTTGAATATTGAATATTGTACCAGAATATTGAATATTGTACAAGACTATGTAAGAGGGTATGCATTGTTTGAAATCTTCTGCTTGGCAAACTCATCATGGCCAAAAACAGCTCTCGTAAGTAAGCCAAATATGAACCTCTTTAGATAAAATGAGAGCAGATCCAGGCAGCAGGGCATGGAAATGTGAAAGAAACTTCATCAGCACACGATCAAGGAATTTTTAAGCTTGAAGAGATAAAAGAAAAGGTGAGAGGAGATGTATGTGGTTGATATGAATATATATACATATATATTCACTTAGACAGTTTTTGAGAAAATTTGGTATTTTGACTCTGTATCTGGTTAAGGAAACTCTTCCTATAGGACAGTAAGGAAAAATAAGTTCCAGTTCTGATTTGCCATGTTTTACCCTTAGAAAATCACTTGACTCTCAGTAGATTACCTTCCTCTTCAAATAAAAGGCTGTAAATTATGTCATCCACACTGGGCAGAGCTGGACCGTTTTTGACAACTTCAGTGGCCTCTGCCTTACTTCCCCAGATACCCTCTTACCGAAGATAGGCAGGAGGGGCAGTGGGCCTCGCTGTGAGGGCTGTCTGGTGTCCCACACCCTCGGTCTGAATCATAGCCCCACCCCCGGCTAGCAGTGTGACCCTGGGAAGACGCTTAATCTAAGTGCTAAACCTCTTCTACACAAATGGGATCATTAATGTAGCGCCGTCCTCATAGGGCTGTTGGGAGGATAAGATGAGACCATCTCTTCTTCCCTCCCTCTTTCCCCCCTCATCCTCTCCTCTCAAACCTGCTGCCTAATAAGATACCTGGTTAACCCTCCATCCTTGTTCCCTAACACCTTCTACCTGGTGAATCATGTTCCCTCTAGTATATAGTTGGATTCCCTCTACAGCCCCTTCTGTGGAGATCAGAGGCGGTTTATTCATTTTACTTTGGGAACGGAGGTGCAGGTTAGTCAAATAACTCAATATCTCACAGCAGGTCAGGGGCAGAGATCAAGGTCAAATGCCAGCCCCAGGGCTCTTGCTGTTTCATCCCAGCATCGAGAAACCTCTGGGGCTTCCCTCCATTCAGTGTTGAGATAGCCCATCCCCCTTACTACCTGGAGCTCACACCTGGGGGCAAACACGCGTTGTGAGGCGTGTTCTTACCATAGTCATTTTCTTCATCTCTTGCTGTTTTCTGTCCTCTCATGATTAACTGAAAGAGTCCCAAACCCCATTTGTTCAATCATTCATTCATCAAATAAGTATAACTACCTCCAATGTGTCAGGCAAAATCCAAAGAGCTGGTGACACCACAGTGAAAATGTCATAGTTCCTGCCCTCTCTGAGCATCAGAATTTAGGGAAGACATTGGAAGAGCCTGGTCTGGGGCTGGGATGATACTGTGAGAACACTTGGCGAGCTTGTTTTGTCTTTCAGGACCTCGAAATGCACAGAGCAGAGTGCATTTGACAATACTCTATGTCAATGAGTAAGCTTTAGATATTAATTTTCCCAGGTAATTTTATGTTAGTGACATAAGTGGTAGAAAATAAGTTTTCCCAGGAGATTCAGCGGCCAGGGGTGGGGTGGGGGGCTTTGGAAAACCCTGAGAACAAGAAAGTTTGCTCACTGACTTAGGACCTACCTTAGGTTTGTTGGCCTGGGAAACAAGCAAGAAGAAAATTGGAATTTTGTTTTTGGAAATCGGAAAACAGACGTATTTCCCAAACTGGTCTGGAGAGCTCCTGCTCTCAGAAAACCACATGATTTGGCTCGTCCTAATATGTCTAAATAGGGTGAGATTGGGATGCTCCCTTCCAGGTTTTTATGTTCTTGCCTCAAACCTGAGGCTTCTCAAAGTAAAGTGAGCTTACCCACTCAAACATTATTTAATACAATTAAACATTCTGTGGTCAAGTTTGCCTGATCACACGAGTGCCTGAACACGAGAGCACAGTCTCCCCTAGGTCTACTCCAGCCTCATTCCCACCTAATCCCCTCCCCAGTCAGCCCCTCCACAAACAGCAGATTTCAGGGCCTTTTCCAACCCACCTTGTGGACCATTCATCCCACCACACACTTCTGCCTGAGTCCTGTTTGTGCTTCAACGTCCATTTCAAATTCTACCTCTTCATGTCGCCCACCTGGTTCCTACAGGTAACTGTGTTCTCCCCCTATTGGCACCAACAACGACGCAAAAACAAAGGGAGAGGTTGGCTGAGTAACCTGTCTCTGGCCAAAGGACTCAGATGGCAGGTTTGCCTAGAACTCAAGCCAGAGCTCTCGGTGTTTCTGCAGTAACTCTCCTGCCGCCGCCCCCACCCCCCGTTACCCACCCCACCCCTGTCACCCCGCCCCCCGTTACACCCCATCCAAAGCTTTCTGTAAAGTTTACCCCAGGGGTAAATCACATAATATGATTAGTTTATTTTGTGTCTAGAAATCAACAAACTCCCATATTTGACACCAGAGCAGAAATGAAGAAAGAGCCCACAAGGTTCAGAGCCAGGAAGAAAACTTTAGCTAAAGCAAGATGTCCTTGTCAAAGCTGGAAATGAGGAAGTGGGTTATGGGGAATCCACAGAACTCTCGAATAGGTGACTGGACTTTCCATATCGTTTGAAATGGTGGTTAAAATCATTTAAAATAATTTTCAAGAAGGAGGTGAGCTCCCACTGCAATCTGGGACGACAAATGGTTCTTAGTTATTGAGCTACGTAAAACATGTAGAATCCTGGGCTTCCCTAGTGGCGCAGTGGTTGAGAGTCCACCTGCCGATGCAGGGGACACGGGTTCGTGCCCCGGTCCGGGAAGATCCCACATGTCGCGGAGCGGCTGGGCCCGTGAGCCATGGCCGCTGAGCCTGCGTGTCCGGAGCCTGTTGCTCCGCAACGGGAGAGGCCACAACAGTGAGAGGCCTGCGTACCGCAAAAACAAAAAACAAACAAACAAAAAAACTTGTAGAATCCTGTATTCGGAATCCTCTGAAAACTCAAAGTTCATGTAGTTTAGTGCCTCTCAGATTTGCTGTTTTTCAGAATTACTTGAGTGTTCTTTAAAAATGTCCATTCCGGGGGGACCATGCTCAGAAATTCCGATTTATGAACCTGATGTATCTGATGTACTCAGTCCACAAATCAGAGTTTGGAAACGAGCTATTTATTCAGACCCCTTCACTGTATAGATGATGAAATTGGGGTGTCCCTGCAGCTGGCGTGGGAGAGACCTGAATTAGGGAGCAGACGTGTAAGGGATCATGCAGGGAGAGGGGTTGAAGACCTAGTTCTGGACCTCTTAAATTTCTGGAGGGTCCCCTCCTGTGGGACAGAGGGGAGAGGGAGAATCTGGGGGGTGAATTCTGATGGTATCCTGACTCACCACATTGTAACTTGCTCTGAAGTTAGACTGCTTTCGGGGCCACAGAAATATCTTCTGTCTGTGCTGAAAATGCCGTTTGGGCAATGTTGAATGCCTTTTAAAATGTATTTTATTCCTAGATGTGGTTCCAGCACACACTTCTCTCACTGTATGGAGGGAGTGTGGAAGGAGACAGGAATGTGTGTCCTCCAGACTGGAGAATATGCTCATAAACCTTCTTTTGAACTTCCTCTACTGGAAACTTGTGACATCTTTACAAATCCAGACGCCCCATCTTAACAGCTCTGGCTTTCACTTACCCGCATGGCGCCTGGTGGAACCCAGGGGCTCACACAGTAAATGCTCTCACAGCCATGTTCCTTCTGGTTGGTTGCAGCTCCTGTCCCTTGCTGGGGCTTGCTTTTCCTGGTGACAGACTCTGACAGGTGATCTGAGAAAGCCCTGATCTCTGCTTTCCCCTTGGTTGTGAGTGTTGCAGGCTGTTTTCTCCCAGTGTGCACAGAGGAAGTCTCAGACCTTTGAGACCCAGAGCTCTGGAAATTGCAGAGGGAGGGTTAGGTGGTGGTGACGACTTAAAGAGACAGGAACATTCACTGTGGGCTTAAAGCATTTCCCTTACAAAACCTCCCTCCTGGTGTGACTAATGTGGTGTGTGTCTCCAGCAGGGCCCCTCGATACCAAATATCTTGTCATACCTGAGGAAGGGAAGGGTGTTGTAGGACCCCGAGGCCTGACTCTCCTTCTAGAACTGTTCAGTGATCTAATCTTCAATGACTTTTTACCCTGTAGGCATTTCCCCCCATATCAAATAAGTCCAGAGAGCCTCCTGCCCCAGAACAAAGAACATGATAGCTTTTCTCAACAGCTGTCCATTGACTGGACATCCATGTGGCCAGGGCTCCTCTGGGGTCAAGTCTGTCAGAAAAATCCAGAAGCAGAGTTTTACCTGAGCAAGGAAGTCTCAGCTACTGAAGGACTTGAAGCTAGCCGCTATGTTGAGGATGGGCACCTTTACACAATTCCTAAATTAGCCTTATGAGGAGGCTTAGTCTGCTCCTCTGTGCTGGTGTCACCAATTCTAGCTGTTCTGTCTTCTCTCAAGAGGGTCATGAGAGTGAGGGTCAGCAAAAGAGCCAATGGTGTGGTGAACAGGCTACAAAAGGACTGGCCCTAGGACTGGTCAGGTCACCAACCTAACTCAAACTTTCTGGAGTTGACTGTCCCTATGTGTGGGAAGGAGGGCTGTCCCGAGCCCTAGTCTACTGACTGGGACCTGCTTTTTCATCTCTTTCTTTCCAGCCCATGTTTTCAGGTAGGAAAGAGACCCCACTTCCACTATTTTCCATTCTTTATTTCGGGGACAGAATCTCTCGAATTACTGACACTCCCATTGTTTCAATTCAGCATCACTGAAGCCAGGAGTCGCTCATTCTCCCACTAGATCAGCAGTGCCAGGACTAGTGTGAGGCCAGTTTGGTGTCCAGGGCACAAAGTTGAAGGAGGCAGTCACTACCAAGGTCTCTCAAGTGCCAACCCTACAGGTGAATGGCCCTGGAAGTGAGTACTTCCTTAAGACTGAGGTGCATATGGCTCCTCACTGGCTTCACCCTGGTCCAAGCCACATAGACCAGTCTTGACTAAGTCTTTCACACCCAACATGTACATTTCATGAAGATGCTTTCAGTGCCTCTTTGACATCTCCTTGCCGTTCAGTGTTCTCATGCATGCATGTGGTGTCTTCCTTCAACCAGTTGTGACTCTCTGCCTGGGGATTCACCTGGTTACAAGAAGATGCTTGGCTAGTGCACGGAGCAGCCTGAACTCATCAGAGAGCTAAGGTCCCCAGGAGCAGACCTCAATCTGTGACAGTGAGAAGTTAGTGGATAAATACCCCAGTTTCCTTGCTTATTAAATTGTGCACTGCCCACCAAGTGAGATAATTCTGAGGTATATTCTGGACCAACTGCTGTGGTCCCCGGCAGGATGGAGACCCAGTGGTCTGTGGTGGAAACCCCCTTATCATTGTCTACAGTGGTAAGATGCTCATCAACACAACCTGGGTCGGCTCCTTTCCCTTCCCTGTCTCACATTCCCACGGCCCTACTAGTGCTTTCTGGGATCGCTTTCCTACCCCAAAGTAACTGTCTGTCTCCATTTTTCTCTGCATTCTGATTAGATTAGCTTTTGGTTACTTGCCATTGTCTCTGGGCTTGGTCCCCTGGTATTCTCCGACTTGCCATCGGTTGTGGAAACCTATCCAAGGCCGAGGCCCTGAGACTCCTGGGTCTCAAAACCATCCAGGGCTCCTGCTTCCTCTCCTCCTATTTCCACACTTCTTTCTTCTCCTTTCAGATTTGCATATTCATTGTTTTCTTCTCTATCCTTATAAATCCAGTAAAAATTATGCAGAAGGAAAACATCCTTCTTGAACAGACCTTCAGAAGAGAATAATAAGTTCAGACCTTCTGGGATCACTCTTCATGCCTGATGTCTCCCCGCATTCTCTTGACATAGCCAGAGCTCAATTATCAGCATCCCCAGGGCTACAAAGGAATAAAAACTACCCAAATGTCATCTCAGGAGAGGAGACTATAGGGAAATGCGTCTTCAATGAAACACTGACTGTCTGACAGACATTGGTGCCACTATGCACCAGCATTTAGAAGGACTATTGTAGTGTCATGTAGATCCTACTTTCTTTTTTGGGGGAAAGAGTTTGTGGCAACCAAGGTTTACTTGTTAGAAGTACCAGTGAAGTAGGTGTCATCCAGGATTCAGTTTCATAGGACAAGCACCAGGGCAAGCTTCCTAGTTTGATAGCATAACGTAAAAGGAGAGGAAAGTTCATAAGCCAAATCAGAAGTTAAAATGTTGTGTGTTTCATATTCCAATGTTATGTACAATGGGACGCTGGAGCCCAAGATAGAAAATAAAAGTTCCGAGTGGGAGAGATGCAAATGTTAACACAAACGGAGACTTGTGCAAGAACTTAGGATGGGTTTCAGTTAATAAAAGACCAGGAGAAAGGACTGGGAGGGTGTATATTTGAATAAATACCAGCGCGCCAGAAAACAAAAGAATGGGCAAAAAACACTCAGAGAAAATGTGTAGGATATGAAGAAAAAAGGACTGAGAATAGAATACCAGAGACCTTATAGTTCTGGAACCATTAAGAGGAAAACAGTACAAATATTTGAAAAGTGGAATGCTAGCTGAAAAGTGTGTTGTTATTAAAGACAAGCTATAGAAAATATGAAAAAGAAAAAGAATCCATTAAAACGGGGGATTTTTGCTTCTGGTGAAGTTGGAGAAAGAGTCAAAAGCCCTCAGCTTCCACACTGACAACAAAAATTGGACAGAATGAAAATATACTTCTCTATGTCAAAGGATGGTGGAAGCAAGGAAGCACTGAGGAACTGAATTCTAGATATGAAAGAGCCGTTTATAGATAAGGAGAGAGCTGGGGAGCCTTCTATACCTGGGGTAAGTACTTGGTGTGGATATAAACATTTGGAGGTATTGGCTTGTCACAGACAGATTTTGCAGAGTGGAGGAGAAGTCAGATGACCATTTGACAACAATGTGGGTTATCTAAATAGATTGGAATCTGTATGATCCTAAAGGCAATGCTAAATTGTCTATCTGGAAAACTCTTTTCCTGTTCTCATCGCAATATCTTTTCCTAAGAAAGCAGCAATGGAGAAGGGTCAAGAAAATAATGAGAAATTTTTCTATCCCATTAGGCCCTGCTAGTGAGGTAAAGCCATTTCAAATTAGAGCCTTACACCTTTCTCAGTTCAAATGTTGATTAGATAAAATGTTGCTTAGGTAGGAGATTGTTATGTGTAGTATGAATCTGAAGTGAACTTAATCGATTTAATGTTGGCTCATTCTCATTTCAACTCAAGCATTGGAGCCAATGATGTGATCAGAGTAATCACTAGACAGATAAATGAACTTGCACTATCCATAAAATAATCCAAAGCTGGGGAAACATAAACTTTAGACTTCAGTTTTATTGTCTGCAATATAAATTTATGTGACATATGAAGAGTCAGGAAAATATGGCTCATAATCAAAAGATTAAACGTTAGAAGCAGAACCACAGATGACTCATTCATTGGAACTTAGGACTTTAAAATAGCTATCATAAAAGTGTTAAAGAATTTATAGATAAATAAATATAATGGGTTAAGAATTGAAGAATTTCATGAGAGAAATATAAACACAAAAGTATTAATTCTGGAAATAGAACATAAAATATGTGGAAAAGAAAACATTTATTGGATGGACCTCATAACATATTGAACATTGAAGAAAGGACCTATGAACTTGAAGACAGGTCATGAGAATTTATTGAGACTAAAGCATAAAAGGAAAATATAAAAAATAAACAAACACAGCACTAGTGATCACTGGGATAGTATCAAGCAGTCTAATGTAATTGAATCCAAGAAGGAGAAGAAAAGACTGAACTGGTAGGAAAAAATATTTGAAGGTATAATGACCAAAATGTTTTAATTTTGATGAAAAATTTCAACCCATAAATCCAAAAATTTTAACTGTATGTGGGAAATACAAAGAAACCCCAAATCCAGGCACTTTACAGTCAAACTACTAAAAACAAAAACCAAAACAAAGAGAGAGAGAGAGAGAGGGAATAATTTAAAATTAACTAGGGGAGGAAAAACAGACACATTAGACAGAGGGGAACAATATAAGAATAATGGCTGCTTTCCTATCAGAAATAATGCAAGCCAGAAAACACTGGAATATCAATAATATTTAAAATGCTGAAGGAAAATGAAAGATCGACCCAGCAAAACTACCCTCCAAAAATGAAGATTGAAAAAAGACATTTTAAGATTGAAAACCAAAGAGAATTTGTCCCACAATTCTTCAGGCTGAAGGAGAAAGATACTAGATAGAAACTTGGATCGACAGGAAAGAATAAAGTTTTCTGGAAAAATTAAATATGTGGGAAATATGAAAAGACTGCTATTTTGATTATTGCTTAGTTTCTTAAAAATGAAATAGACTAAAGCAAAATATTAATAACCTATTGTGGGTTTCTAACATATGGAGAAGCAAAAAATGACAATATCACAAAGGAAGGGTAGAGATTAGATGCAAGTACACTTTCATAAGGTTCTTATATTAATATCTTCTTTGAAACGGTCCACTCTTAAGTCAAGGTAGAGAATAATATGTTAAGGATAAATACTTTAGTTTTGAGAGCAATCACTTAAAAAAAAAAGTCCAAAAGAGGAGAGGAAATGGAATAATTTTGAAAAAATCAACACACAAAAATGAAAAAAAGAGGAACAATGAAAATATGGGGCAACAAAGCAATCTACAGATTCAATGCAATCCCTATCAAATTACCACTGGCATTTTTCACAGAACTAGAACAAAAAATTTCACAATTTGTATGGAAACACAAAAGACCCCAAATAGCAAAAGCAATTTTGAGAAAGAAAAACGGAGCTGGAGGAATCAGGCTCCCTGACTTCAGACTATACTACAAAAGTACAGTAATAAAGACAGTATAGTACTGGCACAAAAACAGAAATATAGATCAATGGAACAGGACAGAAAGCCCAGAGGTAAACCCATGCACCTTCCTACGGTCACCTCATCTTTGACAAAGGAGGCAAGCATATACAATGGAGAAAAGACAGCCTCTTCAATAACGGATGCTGGGAAAACTGGACAGCTACATGTAAAAGAATGAAATTAGAACACTTCTTAACACCATACACAAAAGTAAACTCAAAATGGCTTAAAGACCTAAATGTAAGGCCAGACACTATAAAACTCTTAGAAGAAAACATAGGCAGAACACTCTTTGACATAAATCACAGCAACATCCTTTTGACCCACCTCCTAGGGTAATGAAAATAAAAACAAAATAAATAAATGGGACCTAATTAAACGTAAAAGCTTTTGCACAGGAAAGGAAACCATAAACAAAACGAAAAGACAACCCTCAGATTGGGAGAAAATATTTGCAAACGAATCAACAGACAAAGGATTAATCTCCAAAATATATAAACAGCTCATGCAGCTCAATATTAAAAAAAGAACAACGCAATCAAAAAATGGGCAGAAGACCTAAGTAGACTTCTTTCTCCAAAGAAGACATACAGATGGCCAACAAACACATGAAAAGATGCTCAACATCAGTAATTATTCGAGAAATGCAAATCAAAACCACAATGAGGCATCACCTCACAGCAGTCAGAATGGCCATCATCAAAAAATCTACAAACAATAAATGTTGGAGAGGGTGTGGAGAAAAGGGAACCCTTTTGCACTGTTGGTGGGAATGTAAATTGATACAGCCACTTTGGACAACAGTATGGAGGTTCCTTAAAAAACTAAAAATAGAACTACCATATGACCCAGCAATCCCACTACTGGGCATATACCCAGAGAAAACCATAATTCAAAAAGATACATGCACCCCAATATTCATTGCAGCACTATTTACAATAGCCAGGACATGGAAGCAACCTAAACGCCCATCAACAGATGAATGGATAAAGAAGATGTGGTACAGATCTACAATGGAATATTACTCAGCCATAAAAAGGAACAAAATTGGGTCATTTGTAGAGATGTGGATGGACCTAGAGTCTGTCACACAGAGTGAAGTAAGCCAGAAAGAGAAAAACAAATATCGTATATTAACGCATATATGTGGAATCTAGAAAAATGGTACAGATGAACCTATTTGTAGGGCAGGAATAGAGATGCGGATGTAGAGAATGGACTTGTGGACATAGTGCGGGAAGGGGAGGGCAGAACGAACTGAGAGAGTGGCACTGACATATATACACTACCATGTGTAAAGTAGATAGCTAGTGGGAAGTTGCTGTATAGCTCAGCGCTCTGTGCTGACCTAGAGGGGTGGGATGGGGTGTGTGTGGGAGGGAGGCTCTAGAGGGAGGGGGTATGTGTATACATAGAGCTGATTCACTTTGTTCTACAGCAGAAACTAACACAGCATTGTAAAGCAATTACACTCCAATAAAAAAAAAATCCTACTGTGTGGCTGAGAAGACAAATAGATGGGCATGCGGAGGGGAGGGGACTCAGATAATGCACAGCCTCTAGGGGCTCAGGAGCAGTACTTTATCAACAACCCAAGCCCTGCAGAAGGCCAGCCTAGTTACACGGGATAATAATAACTGGTCCCTTAGGGCTTGCCCTGTGGGATGAACGAGAAAGCATATTTAAAGTGCCTATCGGTGTCTGGCACACTGTCACAATCAATAAACAAGTGATACAGGAATGAGGAATGATGTGCCCAGCCTAGTGTCTGAGTCACAGCCGCCATTCAACAAAGGCAGCTCTTGGGGGAGGGAGAGACAGAAGACCCAGGTTTGAAGGAGGAGTAGCAAGAACAGCAAGGAGCTTCTGAGGGTTCTCTGCAACGTCCATGAAAATAAACTTGTTAAAAGAAAAAAAAAAAGAAAATATGGGGCAAATAAGAAGCAGGAGCAAGATGGTAAAGGTAGATGTAAATCCAACCATAGCTATAGCTATTTTAAATTCTTTTTTTTTTTTCGCAGTACGTGGGCCTCTCACTGTTGTGGCCACTCCCGTTGCGGAGCACAGGCTCTGGAAGCGCAGGCTCAGCGGCCATGGCTCACAGGCCCGGCCACTGCCCGGCATGTGGGATCTTCCCGGACTGGGGCACGAACGCGCGTCCCCTGCATCGGCAGGTGGACTCTCAACCACTGAGCCACCAGGGAAGCCCAGCTATAGCTATTTTAAACGTAACTGATCTTTGACAAAGAAGCAAAGACAATTTAATGGAGGAAGCATAGTCTTTTTAAATTTTTTATTTATTTTTACTTTTTAAATTGAAGTACAGCTGATTTACAATATTATATTAGTTTCAGGTGTACAGCATAGTGATTCAGTATTTTTATAGATTATCGTCCATTTAAGGTTGTCAAAAAATAATGGCTATAATTCCCATTGCTATACAATATATCCTTGTTGCTTATCTGTTTGCTTCATAATAGTTTGTATCTCTTAATCCCATACCCCTATTTTGTACCCCCCTTCCCTCTCCCCACTGTATCCAGTAGTTTATTTTCTATAACTGTGAGTCTGTCTAAAAGCATAGACTTTTTTTTTTTCATCTTTATTGGAGTATAATTGTTTTACAATGGTGTGTTAGGTTCTGCTTTATAACAAAGTGAATCAGCTATACATACACATATATCCCCATATCTCTTCTCTCTTGCGTCTCCCTCCCTCCCACCCTCCCTATCCCACCCCTCTAGGTGGTCACAAAGCACTGAGCTGATCTCCCTGTGCTATGCGGCTGCTTCCCACTAGCAATCTATTTTACGTTTGGTAGTGTATATATGTCCATGCCTCTCTCTCACTTTGTCCCAGCTTACCCTTCCCCCTCCCTGTATCCTCAAGTCCATTCTCTAGTAGGTCTATGTCTTTATTCCCGTCTTGCCCCTAGGCTCTTCATGACCATTTTTTTTCTTAGATTCCATATATATGTGTTAACATACGGTATTCGTGTTTCTCTTTCTGACTTAGTTCACTCTGTATGACAGACTCTAGGTCCATCCACCTCACTACAAATAACTCGATTTCGTTTCTTTTTATGGCTGAGTAATATTCCATTGTATATATGTGCCACATCTTATTTATCCATTCATCTGTTGATGGACACTTAGGTTGTAAAAGCATAGACTTTTCAATAAATGATGCTGGACATCCACATGCAAAAAAAAAATAAAAAGAATCTAGTCACAGACCTTATACCTTTCACAAGAATCAATTCAAAAGAGATCATGGATATAAATGTAAAATGTAAAACTATAAAATTCCTAGAAGATGACACTGGAGGAAATCTAGGAGATCTTGGGTGTGGTGATGACTTTTTAGATAAAACACTAAAAGCATGATTTATGAAAGAAAAAATTGATGAGTTGAACTTCTTTGAAATTAAAAAATTCTGGGCAAAAGACATTTTTAAAAGTGCTCAATGGCATGGAACAGAGAAAATATAAAGGAGAAAATCAAAGTTAGATTTTTGTAAAACTTATAAAATTAAACTTCTAGCCGTGCTGATCAAACAAAAAGAAATAATCATAAATTGCCAATATCAGAATTCGAAGAGGAGCAAGTGTTGGTTCCCAAACGAACTTTTTGGCCAACCCAATAATTTAGCTCTTGTACATATTAAAGGGATGATAAAATATTTTATGTTTCTGCAAATAAATTCAACTACTTAAGTATAATGGAAAAATTCCTTGAAATGCACATCATACAAAAATGAGCATAAGAAGAAATAAAAAAACAGAATATTTTGCATCTGGTTAAAAAATACTTTAAATTTAATTTATAATATTAGAATTTATAATACTATGGAAGGTTTAATATAGGTTCGGGTCTGGGGATCAGAGACCTCAGGATCAGCTCTCTAACTTTACCAGCAACCCAAGGTTGAGTTTCTTCGTCTTGGGGTTGATGTAGGCGTTTGTCTGTAGGTCAGCCTTGCCGTCTGGGTTTGCCTGTCCTCATGGCTCTCAACTCCCCTTTCAGCTCCACATCCTTTCATGTGTATTGTCTGCTTCATGCTTGGAGTTTTCCTGATTTTCTAGTGAGCTCATCACTCATAAAGATTCTGTTTATTTGATTTTATTTATTTTTTATTTTATTTTATTTTATTTTTTGCGGTACGCGGGCCTCTCACTGCTGTGCCCTCTCCCGTTGCGGAGCACAGGCTCCGGACGCGCATGCTCAGCGGCCATGGCTCACGGGCCCAGCCGCTCCGCGGCACGTGGGATCCTCCCGGACCGGGGCACGAACGCGCGTCCCCTGCATCGGCAGGCGGACTCTCAACCACTGCGCCACCAGGGAAGCCCTGTGTTTAATTTTAAAAATTCTAGTTGCGTTTAACAGGATGATGCTCCAAACTATCCAGTCCACCATCCTGTCTGAAGCGTAAGCCTCTATGTGAGTTTCAATGCTAACTGGGAATGGGCACCAGGGGTAAAATCTGGCTGAGCCTCTTTCAATGTTAAGCAAATTTGATGCACATAAAACAGACTATTGATGTGGGAGTGTGTCCGCGTGTGATTGTTGAGCACGAATTGGTTGTGTTACAGAAATGAGCCACGTGTTCACTTACCGTCTTCTGAGGATAAAACCATAGCACAGAATTAGAGACGTGTGATCTCAGGAATTCTACAGCTTACTTGTTATTGTACTGTACCCAGTAGAAATTTTATTGTTATTTTTGTTATATTCAGTAGAAATAGTAGTAGTATAAAGAAGAAAAGGAGTTTTTAGGGACATAAAACTGACTTTAGAGATTTGCAAATGAGAGGAATTTTATGTTTACAAGTTTCAAAAGCTATATTTCAAAACAAACAGTAACTTTTAAAATCATTTGGTTTACTAACAAATAGAATGATGTTAAGATTTTAGCACTTCACAGAATCTCAAACGCCTGGTGCTGTCAGGCACTGTGTTTTACAGGGGAGGTACAGTGTGTGATTCACCCACTAAATGACAGTGGATAGAGAACCACTGATTGTAACTATAATATAGGAGTCTTGCGTTCCAGTCTAATGGTCTTTCTAAAAATTACCATTAATTTTTGGGGTATAATTAACAGTAAGCGACAGAATAAATGGCACATGGTAAACAGTAAGCGGTAAAAGAAATTGCACATTCCGTGCAAGACACGAAATAACAGAGTTTGCAATCTGACAAACACCTGAATACACATCACTATTAGGATTAGGGCTCTGGCCATGGCTGAACGTCTCTGAATTTCCGTGTACTTTACAAAGCTCTCTTTGAAGTCCTGTAATCTTTCCTCTGACTGCACAGTTGCACATTCTGACCCTGTTACTAGGCTGTACAGCCCATTGCTGTAGTGGCCACCCCTTTTCGCCATCACTAGGCTCTCAGTCAAGTCCATTAGCTCCTTCACCTGGTCATCCCGATTGCTCCCTTTAGCACGGTTACTAAAGGCACACACTCGCCCCCCACACGCAGCCACCAGCTCGCTTAGGGCTTTGTTATCTGAGCCATGGATGTAATCCATCAAGGAGCCTCCCTTGAGGTCTTCCTTGTGGGTGAAGAGGACAATTGTGTGTCTCATGGCATCCTCTCCAAAGATCTCCTTCACCTTCTGCACAGCCTGCTGGTCCTCCGTGGTGAATCGGCCCAGCTGTGTCACCAGGAGCAGCACGTGGGGTCCTGGTGCGGAAAGTAAGTAGCACTTCTGTACCTCTTTGTACAGGGAATCAGAGGGGTCCTTCCCAGAAAACATGTCTGGTGTGTCAATAACAACCATCTCTCTGTCTCCCCAGCTTCCCCGACTTTTACTGCAAGTCTTCGTCAAGGACTGGGCACTCAGCCTGGACTCAAATGCTTCCTTCCCGAGGATGCTGTTCCCCGTAGCACTTTTGCCAGTTCCTGTTTTGCCCACCAGAATGACTCTCAGCTCTGATCCTCTGGCACGTTGAGCTTGTTGACTCTTTGTATATGGTCCTGCTAAGAGCAAGTTTACTTAGAAGAGAAAGACAAATACTGTATGATATCGCTTATATGTGGAATCTAAAAAAAATGATATAAATGAACTCATTTACAAAACAGGTATAGACTCACAGACTTACAGTTACCAAAAGGGAAACAGGCAGGGGAGTAATAAATTAGGAGTTTGGGATTAAAATATACACACTACTATATATAAAATAGATAACCGACAAGGACCTACTGTATAGCACAGGGAACTATACTCGATATCTTGTAATAACCTACAATGGAAAAGAATCTAAAAATCTATTCATATGTATGTGTGTGTGTGTGTGTATAACTGAATCATTTTGTTGTAAAACTGAAAGTAACACAGCACTGTAAATCAACTATATTTCAATTAAAAAAAAAAAGGTGAAAAAAAAAAGAATAAGCTTGCTTTGTTATTACCACACTGATCATGCCAATGGAATATTTTTAATGATAAGGAAAAGTCTGGGAAAAGATACTCTCACAATGTATGGTATTTCTGAAATAGAAGCTAACTCTATTATCAAATAAAATAATGATTTTTAAAACTCTAGATTTCTCTAGGTCTGCAGGGCATTGCCATGTTGGCTCCTAGAAAAACATATTTGGAGGATGAGTTAGAATTAAAAACATACCTTGTCATTCAAAATTTGCCTATATCATCCAGTTCTGGCCCTGTAAAAGGCAAATTTTCTGGAGATGAGAGACGGGTAGCCAAGACAGTGGGTTCCGTCTTCAGGTGGGGGAAGTAACCTGACTGTTCCAGGACCAGAGACGGCTCCTCTGACCGTGGCTGGGCAGAGGTGTGGTCCCGACCACCAGTGAAATGGTTAGACCAGGAAAATACTGAAATGAACATTGTGAAATGATCCTCTCTAGTGAAGAAACTGCTGCTCACTTATGCTTTGCTTCAAAGTATAGCATGATTTTTATACAACATAAGCACAGAATGGGTAAACAGGCACAGAGAGGAAGTCACTTTCTTACCAGAGTGACTGCATTCCTTTTGGCCCATGGCAGTTCCTGAGGGACAGAGAGACCAGAGACCAATTAAAATACTATCATTTTTGAGTTACGACTCATGAGAGAACCTTATATTTCTAGAGCACGTTCACAGCCATGCCTCATTTGTCTACACAAAGCTGAGGAGGTGGGTGGAAAGAAGTACTATCTCTATTTTACATAGAAGTTTAGTCACTTGCTCAGAGTCAACCCAGTGAGTCAGAAGATGGGTTTCGCTTGTCGCCCCACCTACTTCTTCTTATCTCCATGCCCACCTCTCCTCCACTTACCCTCCTCCCTGAAGGACCTCCGCGCCCACTCTTGCTTTCCGTGGCCACACACCTTCCTTTCCCTCTACGTCCTTTCTAGGTCTGCCTTGGGTCCCAGGTTCAGACTGCTCTTTCTTTCGATCCTTCTCCAGCTCGCCCAACCCCTCCCTCCACGCTGCATCCTTGCTGAGAGGCTCAATGAATTAAGAACACGACTCCAGAAAAGTACACTGTCCTTTAAACCAGAAATACACTTCATTTGATCCGTTAATTACTTGAATTTTCCTCTTTCCACGTAGAAGCCTTGCCATTTAGTTCCTTTTCCTACGCAGAGAAAAGTATCTTAAAACTGGCAGCCTGTACCAAGCGACAAGGCAGAGAAAATGCATGAGTTAATGACCAAATTCTTCCCAGTTAGCACTTTTTATTGGCTCTATGCAAACAAAGCTCTCTTTGCCAGTAATGGGCAATCTAAATTCCATGAAGTTTACAGGTCCTGTAAACTGGCTTCACTTAAGCCAAATGCCATCACTCTAAATTGTTTCCCTGAAAATAGGGCAAATTTGTTTTAAAATTTTTTCTTTAGCCTGGGAACTAGAAATCAACACTGCAGAACTTTCTTGAGTGTGGACTTACCTGAGTTATTTTTGAAAGAAACAGAAGCCTCCCCAGTGAAATCTGTGACTTGCCCGTTCAGCTTGAAGAGAAAAAAAAAACCAAACAAACCAGAAAACCGGAAACCTAGTCTGCTTCTTCCCCTCTCGAATCTCCACTGAGTTTCCTCACTGCAAGTGAGCCCCAGCACATGTCTGTGTCTGATTCTCTTTTTAAAAATAGTTAAAATGGCAAAATTTAATGAATAATTTGTTGTCGCATGGACTGTCTTTTCTCAATAGTGAAAAAAACAATGTTTGAATCATTTAAACTGGACAGGAAGAAAAGGGGCGCCAGGGATGCTGGTAGATTTGTTTCCTTCCCACCCGGGCTGTCTCCCCGCAGTTACAGGTTTGCCTGAATGAACACCCCTCAACTCCTCCCAGCAGGAATGGCGCCTCATCCACACCGTAGCAGTGACTGTCCTAAAGGCAAGTGCCGCTGGGTTGGGGGGCAGAAAGAGCGTGGGTGTGAGGGGCACAGGACAGGGCACTGTGCAGAGCGGGGAGGGTACAGAAAGGGGAACCCGGGAGAAGCCCATGTCTGTCTGACTGTAACAGTCACGTCCATCAGCGCATTTGGAAATAACTCACTCATGGTTTCCCTGCTTTTCCTTCCTGTCCAGCTCTGCAATGTCAGGGAGGCACCCCTGGGAAGCAATGATCTAGGCGGTGTCTACAATAATAATCTGAGTCTCTACCTTCAGGAAGAATGACCCAAGGGATTAAAGCTGAAATCACTCAAATGCTTTTTTCCCCTTATTTATATGATGTTCACCACAGCAGGGGCAGAGAAAATGTGGGACTTAGATAGCCTTTAAATATCCCAGATTAGTAGTGGTGCACTTTGCTTTCTCTCCCAACCACTGATGAGAAACAATCACAGGCCCCGACCTCATTATAAGAGAGGTTTGGAAACACAGTGGAGTCCCGGGACACGGGTGGACACCACTGCTTTGTCACACACTAACTGTTATCACCGTTTTGCACTCTTCCACATCCTTTATACGCAGTCTTCTACTTAACATCAGTAATCTCTTCTTAAAAACAAACCATTCTGTGTCAAAATACTAACAGGGACCTATTTCTTATTGTTTTTTATGAAAACACGTATAATGCAATATCAAATTCAAAGCCCATCGATTTTCTAAATCACATGTAAAATTCACTAAAGTACCTATATAAAAACATTTTTTTCAGAACAAAAGCTTAAAATATTGCTCTTTTGAATACCCCAAATATTTTTGGTTTATAAAAGAAAGTTATTGGATAAGTATCCTGACAAATAACTCAATTAAAAAATGGGCAAAGGACCTGAATAGATATTGTTTCTGAGAAGACATACAAATAGCCAGCAGGTACATGAAAAGGTGTCAACATCACTAAGCATCAGGGGAATGCAGATCGAAACCACGATGAGTTATCACCTCACGCCTGTTAGGATGCTATCATCACAAAGACAGGAGACACGTGTTTGTGAGGATGTGGAGAAATCACGCGGTGGTAGGAGTGTAAATCGGTATAGCTACTATGGAGAACAGTATGGAGGTTCCTAAAAAAATGCAAAATAGGGCTTCCTTGGTGGCGCAGTGGTTGAGAGTCCGCCTGCCGATGCAGGGGACGTGGGTTCGTGCCCCGGTCCGGGAGGATCCCACATGCCGCGGAGTGGCTGGGCCCGTGAGCCATGGCCACTGAGCCTGCGCGTCCGGAGCCTGTGCTCCGCAATGGGAGAAGCCACAGCAGTGAGAGGCCCACGTACCGCAAAAAAAAGAAGAGAAAAAGAAAAGAGGTTTTGTGGAGGGTGGAGGGAAATCAAAAACAAGTCACAATGGCTGTTCAGTGCAGGTGAAAGTGTGTGGGGTGAACTGGTGAAGCAGGGAAGGAACGACGGACGCCTGACTTTCAAAGTTTCACCGAAGTGATGGGTGCAAAACAAAAACTCAGTGAACAAATGAATAAACCCCAACAAACAAACAAACAACAAAAGACCCAACCTGGAGCTTTTCAAAGAGGCTGGACTGAGCGTCTTGTCTACTGAAAAGTGTGAGGAGCTGTTAGCTTTACATTGCAAAGAACTAGCTGCTGAAGACCTAGTTCCAAAGGATGCTCAGAGTTGTAAGAAGGGTCATCTCATGGAATACCTGTAAAGATTAATGGCTGAACAATTTTTTAAGTATTTATTTAGGCTGTGCTGGGTCTCAGTTGCGGTATGCGGGCTTTTTAGCTGCAGCATGCGAACCCTTAGTGGCAGCATGCATGCGGGATCTAGTTCCCCAACCAGGGATTGAAGCCAGGCCCCCTGTATTGAGACTGCGGAGTCCTACCCACTGGACAACCAGGGAAGTCCCTAATGGCTAAAATTTTAATTTAAAAAGTTTTAAAGACATTTTACATCAAACAAGACATCAACAGAAGCATTCCACTAAAAGATGCAATTATCAGCAGTATTACATTACAAAAAGAGGTATATTTGCAAGCAAGGGAACCCAAAGAGATGTCTATTTCGAGTTTCCTTCCATCACATTTCTTTGTCTATGGTTTCAAATGATGGCTCACAATCGTCTCCTTGTGGAACATCTCATACCATGAGGTAAAGATAGTTGTCAGCTCCTTGGAATTGGACATGGACGTACCTCAAGTGTGGGCTGTTCTACCCACTCCTTCGCCAGTTCGTTCCCACACAAAGTCACCCCCACTCAGTAGCCACAGTGACCGCTCTTTGATCTGCTTCCTCTCTCAATGGACAGAGCTGACAATAATCCCTTTAAATTCCTCAGACTTTACATTACTATGGTGAACTCGGGAATCAAAACCACCAGGAGTAAAGTCCTGTCACCTTGGTGAAGGCGTGAAGAAGCCATCTGGAACATTCCAGCCCCAAAAGATGCAACAGGGAGGAATCAAGGAACACAGCTGACCAGCAGGGAGGCACAGAGGTGTGGAGCTAGGCCAGTGTCCCCACCAACTGAAGCCCCAGTCTGCGTGGAGAAGAGGCAGGGGAGAACTTCTGTGCTCTGCCCGACTTCCTGAGGCACAAAATCATGAGCATAATAAAACTGCTTTTGCCACTGGGTTTTGTTTTTTTTTTTGCGGTATGCGGGCCTCTCACTGCTGTGGCCTCTCCCGTTGCGGAGCAGAGGCTCCGGACGCGCAGGCTCAGCGGCCATGGCTCACGGGCCCAGCCGCTCCGCGGCATGTGGGATCTTCCCGGACCGGGGCACGAACCCGTGTCCCCTGCATCGGCAGGCGGACTCCCAACCACTGCGCCACCAGGGAAGCCGCATGCCACTGAGTTTTGGAGTGATTTGTTATATAGCAATAGATGACTGGATCACCTGAATAGATTCCTAGAAATGGAATTGCTAGACAATTGGTAGATGCATTTGTAATTTTGATAGATATTACTGGACTGTCCACAATAAAAATTTTAACCAAACTAGCTACACCAGCATTTTGTTAATTTCCCCATATCCTTGTTCATGATTTTATCTGCCAATCTGATCAATGAAAACTTGCATTCATGTGATTTTTATATGCGTTACTCAACATGAATGTGGTCGAGTTATTTTTTGTATGTTAAAGAACTATGCCTTTTTTATTATCTTCTCATGTGTTTGTTACTCATGTTTAAATTCTGTTGTTAATCGTTCTGACATTGATTTGTAGAAGTTCTTTATGTGGCCAAAAATGATCGTTTTACCTCTTCCTCTTGGAGTTTTGAAAATAACCATCCAATTTTGTCCACTGTTTGTTTTCTGTGGCTAGTATTCAGAAGAATGTTCAATAATCCCAGTATAGTAGGCCTCCTTAACTTGTTTCTAACTTTTGTGGCAATACCTCAATGCTTCCAGTTAAACAAGGTGTGGGCTTTGAGGTTGAGATGGAAATTTAAAAAGTAACCAGTTATTAGATGCTGAATTTTACCAAATTACCTTCCAACACTAAGGTGATAACTGGATTATGTTGCTCCATAGCTTTATAATGCATTAAATTATATGAAAATATTTCCTGATGTTGAACCTTCTTTGCATATTTGGGACTAATCTTTCTCATCTAAGTTATTGCTGGCTTCTATTTGATAATAGTTAATTTTTGCATTTCTTCATGAGTGATCTTATTCATTTCTAAAACAAAGAAATTCTTTTCCTGTTGATTGGCCTGGTTCTAGCTGTATCTGGTTTTGGGGTCTCATTTTCCTTCCAAACGTATCAACCATGGTGTTTTTCTCAAATAGATACTTGCACTCCAGAAGAATTCTGGTTCTATCTTTTAAGAAAACAAGATTTTTACCATCACTACCTTTCACCATCACCTCTTCCTTTCTTAGGCAAGCCTGACGTTAAACAAAGACTATAGCATAGTGAATGTTACGAAGGAAAATGCCAGGGTGCCATTGGGAATGTATAAAGGATAAACTAAACTAATGGGAGGGGGGTAGCTGGGAAAGACTTCTGAGAAAAAGTAAAATTGTTTGAGCTGAACTTGAAAAGTGAGTGAGGAAAGGGATTGGAGGTGTTTCCGGGAATAAGTAGCAGCATATTCCAAGGCAAGTGACAGCACGGAACTCTCAGGTATTAAGGAAGGCAAGGATGGCTAGAACCTAGAGGCAGGAAGTCAGATTGTGTAGCAATGAGGCTGGAGATTGAAGCAGGCAGTTGTCAAGTTTGGATCCTGAATGTTTTCTTGCAAAACAATGGAAACTCACTCTGACATTGACTTGGGGTTGCAGTGCCACGGCCCCGATTGTGAGTTATGTGAAGAATGGATTCGAAAACCCTGTCCCTTATCCTGCTTTACATCATCTCCACCTGGGTATCATTTTTGGGGTCCTCCTCAATGTCCCCTCTCACATCTTCTGC